GGGGGCGTGGCGGCGGGGCGCGTGCCCGCCAAGGCAGCGGGGCAAAAGACGACGCGTGGCAAGGCACGGCGTGGGGAAGGGGGAAGCAGCCCGGGCTCCCCGGGGAAGGGATGATGAACACCCCACGGTGGGCAGCACCCACAGCAAAGGGGGTGGCACGTGGTGGGAGCCCGGTGGCACATGAGGGACAAAGTGACACGCTGGAGCACGATGCAGGACAGCCTGAGCCCGGGGAGGGCTGTAAGTCACCTAAACCCCCAGAGCTTTCCCCCAGCCCAGCCTTGCGGAAAGACGGGTCCTTCCAAGCCCAGGACCCCCGACACCCCCAGTTGCGCCCCTCAGGGGGGTGACCGTCCCCCTCCTGCCAAACTCCTGACCCCAGCGTGTCCCCACGCTCTCTGAGCCGGCCACCGGCTCTCCCCCAGCTCCTCCTGCTTGCAGGGAGAGAAAAACAACATCCCCCATGTAGCAAATGCCTTCCCATCCCCGGGAGCCCGGACGCCGTCTTTGGTTAAGGAGCAGCCGGTGCCGCTGCCACACTGCCGGGCAGGCACGGGGCGAGGGGCCGAGGCTGGCGGAGGGTCCCCGTGGGGACGGGTGACAGGTAGTGGCTCCAGGAGGGACAGAGAGGCCCAGGCTCGCGGGGCCGCTCCAAGCGAGGGGGGACCCGGCTCCCCCCTTGCATGGCTATAGGATATTTATTTAACAAGACCTGGCGTGAAATGCAGGGCCGGAGGAGAGGTACCCGGGCAGCAGCCGTCCCCGCCGGGGAAGCAGCCAAGGCATGGAGCGGTGGCACAAGCCCGAGGTCCCTCGGAGGGTGTCGGGTGAGGTGGTGGGTTCGCCAGCCCCGGCGCAAAGCCTGGCTTCCATCTTCTCATCCCTCTGCTCCGGAGGAAGGCGAGGGGGCAGGTAAACCTCAAGGTGAGGGGAGGCGAAGCTGGGCCGTGGGGTAACCTCTGCGGACACCCCCAAAAGCCCACCCTGCGCCCGCTGCAGCCGCCCCGAGGAGCCGCTCGCACGTCCTGCGTGGGTGGGCAGCCTCCGGGAAAGCCCCGCCGGGGCTGCAAGGCACCTGCAAATCCCAGTCCCGGGCGGTAAATCGTCTGTCACCCCCAGGCCACGGTGGGCGAAGAGCCCCGTGCATCCCGGGGGCTCCTTCCCCGCTCCTCGGGACCAGCCCAGGGCTTGCTGGGCAGAGCTGTCCTGGCAATCCCAGTCCATCCAGGACAGTCTCCCCTTCCTGAACCCCGTGTGTAGTGACAGAAGAAACCAAAAAGGAGAGCAAAGAGAGAAGAACAAATGAAGAGGGAGAGGAACTGTACGAAGCATTGTGTGAGGCTTCGCACGTCAGCCGCTACTGCCCCTTGGGGATGAAGGGTTCTCCCTCTTCCGGCTCCGGCCGTGGGCCCGGGTCGCTCAGGCATCGCAGCATCCGCTGGTTACTGGGGCTGTCGCTGGTCCCCGGGGTGAAGACGTCGTCAGTACCGGGGGAGGAAGGCTCCTTCACCCGCATCACCAGCCCCTCTTCGTCCTCCTCGGGCGAGGGCGGGAGGCCGCCGCAGCCCTTGGGCTCCTCGTTCATCAGGTCCACGGACTCCGGGGACTGCGGGGAGGCTGGGTCGATGGTGATGATGGGCAGGTTCTCCGAGTCCGCCTTGGGTTCATAGGCCAGCGGGTCTGGGGAGGCAGAGAGGGGTGAGGTAGGGACTGTCTCACGGTATCAACAACAAACTGGGTCAGGATAACCTGGGTAAAGTAAGGGGGGTGGCTGTTGGACCCCCGGCTAACGCAGCCCAGGTGTTTGGGGCTGAGATGTCTGGGCTGTCTTATCGATTTCCCAGCCTGCTGTTTAATTCCTTTTCCTGATTTCCACATCCCATCTGGAGCCGCTCCAGGCAGCCCAGCCCAGCCCAGCCCTGCTTCCCAGCGCTGTGCCGTTTGCAAGGGGCGAAGCTGCCCTCTGCCGATTAACCGCCGGCTCGGCAAGCGCCAGCAGCGGCGTCACACCCCGTCGCACCCTGCCACACTGTCCCCAAAGCTGGAGAGGACACGCATAGGCCAGGAGGAACCAAAGACGGCAAAGCAAATGAGTGATGGAGAAGACAGGAGTCCAGCGACAGGACTCGGGGCTGAGCGCTCTTGGTCCTCTCCCCTGCAGAGGGCAGGAAGAGGCACGGCCAGGAATGTGGCTGCGTGGATGAAGTGAGCTGAGCTCCGGACACATCCACTGACCGGCCAAGCCGCCTTCCCGGTGGGAACCATGCTGGGAAGCGAGCCGGGTGCTTCTGCACAAGCAGAGCTCGGGCTCGAGAACAGCACAGCCCTGGGGCTTGGCCGCATCACACACGAGGGAGCGGACCGGGGACGATCGGGGCTGGAGATCTGCAGCGGAGCTGAGGGGATGCAGGAGAACACAACCTCCGCGTGTTTCAGCGCCAAAGGGCCGGCGATGCCCACCGAGGCACCGGCAGCGGCACTCCCCCAGCAGCTCAGTCCCACCTACCTGAGCCGATGCGAGCCCGGGACATGGTGGGCGAGTCGAGCTTGTGAGCCGGCACTGTCAGGTAGTTGTTCATCTGCAACAGGAGAACAGGGACCGTCTCCATCGGAGTGGCCAGGACAAATGGGGAAGGGGAGGCAGGGAATTGATCTCAGGCCAAGGGGATGAGCGAGCAGCAGCAGCAGGATGGAGAAGACATGTGCACACATCCTTCCAGCCATGCTGCAAGGACTTGCTCGGAGCCCGAAGCAATCAGAAGACCCCCAAGACTTGGGGTCCCTCGCTGTCATCTGAACCTCAGCGCCCTCCCCATGCAGGACACCGATGCCCTTCCCAGGTTGGGAAGCCCCTCTTTTTCCCCCCGTCCTCCCCAACCCACGGCAACATCCCCGCTCCACCATCCCTGCTCCACCATCCCCTTGACACCTTCTGTTCCAGCTGCCGGGCCTTCTGCCTCCGCAAGAGCATCTGGTTCCAGGCCTCCTCGTAGGGGTCGGCCACAAGCGTGTGCCGGTTGTAGGATCGTAACTGGGAAAAGGCCCCAAGAAAAGAAGATGGGTTAAGAAAACCACACAGAAAGGCAAAGGAAGGTCACAGCACCATTTCCCTCGGAGACGGATCAAACCGCCACCAGTGGGCAGAGCACATCCAGCCAAGCTGGTGGCTCGTCCCTTGGGTGCTACCATGGGATGCCTGATCTGGACCCACCTTAGCCCAGTGAGGGGTTAAATGCTGGGCTCAGCCACCCACCGAGCCAGCCTCCCCCTCAGCACTATCCCAGCAGCATCCCAGGAGGAAAAGCCTCCTGGGGAGCGAGAGCCAGACCAGGAACGTGAGGGGCAAGAGGGCAAGGACACTGGGGGTGAAGGGCACAGCTGGCCCCACGGGCTTCCAGTGGGCAGTGGTCCTGGCCACCCCCAGGACAGCAAAGGGGGCACACACACGGTGCCAGGGGACACCCTACCCTCTGCCTGGTTTTCTGCAGGTTGTTGCGAAGGATTTTCCGGATCTCCTCCTCCTTGTCCTTGGACAGGGCCGGAAGGATGCGCTCCACGGGAAGGGTCTTGGGGTTGATGTTCCTGCACAGACAGACAGGATTCAGAGTGACTCTACGATGGCCACGGCAGGACCGAATGGCTGCTTGCCCTGCGGCCACTAGTTCAGCCTGCGCAAGGGGCCTGTCAGAGGCAGAGGGCGACCAGGGTCAGGAAACTCACTGGATGGAGACGGTGGAGACAGCGGAGGGGATCTTGCCTATGCCCCCACTCTCCACCAGCTCGATTGCCTGCTTCATCTCCATCTTGTGATAGAAAGCGATGAGCTGGGGCTCCTTGGACCGCTCCCCCGCAATCAGGCACTTCTTCACGTACTTCTTGTTGAAGCGATTCAGCCTTCCCGAGGACGTGGGGAAAGGAGGAGCAGAGATATATCAGACCTCCCCCTGCGCCGGCATGCAATCCCTGCTCCCAGTCGCTGGCCCGGGCCAGCAGAAGATGGTTCAGTTCCCACCAGCACAGGTCAGGCCAGGCTTCCCCGACTCCCTCCCCAGCCAAGCAGCCTCCGAAACACCCAGCAGCTGCTGGACCACAACGGATGGTCCTGAGCTCCTGCAGGGACTGGCCACCAGCAGCTCCCAACACTGCTGTGGGTGGCGCGGCGAAGGGGTACAGCCCTGCAGCCCCGCTCACACCCAACCCAAGGCCATAATTCATCAAGGGGAGCATGTGTGGATATTAAACCCCGGGGGAAAACCTGGCACAGGGCTGAGAAACCTGCTGAGAAACCCTTCCCCACTCCCCTCACGGGTCCCCCGAGTCCCCAAACCTCCACACTCACTTGTCCTTCCAGTGGTGATGCCCGTAGTGACCACAGATATCCTCAATCCCTGTCAGAAGGTGGTCTAAGAACTGGAAGAGAAAGTGCAAGGCGTAGGGCAGCTCGCAGGGCTGTTGCCCACCCTCTCCCCACCCCGACGCCCATGCTGACACAGGGGTGAGGGCACTCAGGGGGTGCAAACTCAGGGCTGTGGGTCCAGGATGGGCCTCAGGAGGGCAGCACGGTCCTACGCAACCGGGCTGCTGCTCTACCAGGCACAGGGGAGGTCTGGGTTGGAGCGGGCACTGGACGACACAGATGGGGGAGAGCCCTCGCTCTGTCCCCCCTTACCTTGGGCACCGATTTAGGGGCAGCTCCCGCTCTGTAAACCCGCCTGGTTACAGCGGTGGAGGTGGCAGAAGCAGAGAGAGAAGAGGGCTAAGGCGGCGAAGAGAAGCGCGCGGGGAGGGCTGGTCGGGCGCAGCGGGTTACCTGCGTGTGGATCTCTTCGTTGATGGAGCGTTTTGTCTCTTGCTTCTTCTTCACGGCCAGCAGGTCCACCAAGGGCCGGATGGTCATGCCCTAGGGAACAGAGAAGGTGGGTTAGACCTCTCCCCAAGACATATCGGCTGCGTTCAGCACAGCTGAACCACAGGGCTCTGCACTGCTGGTGTCACTTGGCAGCCTCAAGAGCTTTTGGAGAAGGGGGACAGTGACAGGGTCAGGGATGGAGGCTGGGGACGTGCTCCTCGCTCTCCACAAACACATGCAGCTCACTGAATAACCCCCTTTCCTTCTGAAATGGCACCGTGACCGCCTGTGTGCCACCAACCTGCACGAAGACTGTGAAGAAGATGACTGTGATGATGGCTGTGAGGAACATGTCCCTCATGCCAAAATGTTTATAGTCCAGGAGGTAACAGAGGGAGAAGGCGATGGCTCCTCGCAGGCCCCCGTAGGCGATGATGAACTGGTCCTTCGGCGTCAGCTTCACAATGCGGAACTTGTTGATGAACCAGGTGAGGACCAGGACACCTGGAGAAGCAGGGCCTCGTGTGAGCAGATGGTGAAGGATACCCTGCAGCCCCAAAGAGACACCCCCCTGGCAGCCCAGCTTGCAGCCCAGTGCAGCGTCACCCCCTCGGGGCCATGGGTGCAGGTGGATGCTGTCCTGCTCGTTCATCCCAACACCCGTCACCAGCTTCAACCCCATGTCTAGCACAAACTTGGCCTCAAGCCCATCTCCCCACAAAGCCAACCACCAGCAAGCCTGATGCCCACAGTAGAGAAGTGCCACCCAGTCAACTCCAGTCTCCCCAGCAAAGCAAACTTGGGCTTCACGGCCCTCAGAGTTGCGCATCACACAGGACCATCCCCAAGGGCTTTGCCACCACACTGACACCTCACCTAAAACTCTCGCGATGAGGCAGAAGAGCAGCGTGCTGATGACGAAGGTCCAGTTCCAGTAGTGGTGGCCAGCCACCGTGGAGACACCCAGGAAGATGAAGATGAGGGTCTCGCTCACACTGCTCCACATCTTAAGGAAATACTTGATGGTGGTGTGGGACTTGTGGGAGATGTTGGCTTCCACATAGGGACGCATGACCACGCCGGAGGCGATGAGCCTAAGGGCAAGGTTGGGTCACTCAGCAGCCATGGGGACATGGGGACAGCCCCAACCACCAGCCCTGCAGCAGCGTTTTGTGCTCTTCTACCAAACCCCAGAGCGGGACAGGGCTTGAGAGACACCAGCAATTGCTCAAGGTCTCCAGAGAAGGCAATACGTGGTTTCTCCTTCCTCCTGGCAGGGCAGGAGTGAGCATTGGTGCCAGGCAGGACAAAACCACATCATCTTGCCCAGGAGAATGGGCAATGGGCTGTCAGCGCCCTGGGATCTGCGCAACGACTCAAGAGAGTCGCTTCCCTCATCTGCCTCTGTGCGTATCCCAGCCCAAACACACCTCTGGCCCTCACTGGGCAGGTACTGGCCATGCTGGGACAGCCAGAGAGATGTGGTTACACCAGAGTAAATCCCCCAAATGGTACTGGGGACAGGAAGGCTTCTTATGCCACCTATGCCCAACTCACGCCATGATGCCGGAGAGGTGGAAGAGCTCAGCGGAGAGATATGCCATGTAGCTGTAGAGGAAGACGAAGAGGGGCTCGATGACTCGGATGTGGGAGGTGAAGCGGGACGTGAAGGCAGCAATCACCCCATAAATGACGCCCACGAAGACACCGCCCAGGGACACCACGAAGAAGCTGAGGAAGCCGAGGATGATATCGATAATGGTCACCTGCTCAAAGTTGGCAAATTCCTCAAAGAGGTGGTAGAGGACCTGGGAGGGAGAAGGGAGAGGGAGGTTCAAACTGTCCTGCTGGCAAGAGACAGCACCTCCGAGGAGACCTGCTCGGGGACCTCCCATGGAAGAGAAACAACAAAGGGAGCCAGGCAGGCACCCAGCAGGTCACACCTGAGATGAGGTGTGCCAGTGCTTGGGGAACCTGAGCTGGGTCCCGTGCTTGACCAAGCCTCACGTCAAAAAAAGCCAGTGATGTGAGACACAAACCTATAGGGACCACCTCCCCACCTTCCACGGCTCACAGGGACAGAGTGCCATCAGAGATGTGTCTGGGACAGCTCTGCTCTCCAACACAAACCCCACTCCTGTCCCAGGAAGGGCTTTGGTCAAGGTCTGAACCAGCCAGAGACTGTTCCTGCTTCCCAACGAGCAGGTCAGGACAGATCCAGGCTGGGGGACAACTGACAGCCGCACGGAGGCAAAAGCCAACATTTGCCCTGTGTGGCCCCGAGAACAGCCCAAACCCTTATGTCTTCTTGTAGCTAAAAGGGCAATCTCACAGGAGGAGCCCACCCCAGGTTCATCGCCTTCTCCCACCCCCAGACACATTTATTGGAGAGATTTTAAAGCAGAAGGTGACCCAGGAGCATCAGGATGGGAAACGGGTTTCATTCAGAGCATCCTGCAGGGATGGCAGCGCCCGCGGGCAGTGAGAGGGTGAGGTGCCAGCTCCTGCCTTCCAGGGCCGGGTCCTGGGACACGGGCAGGGACAGACGTGACAGCAGAAGGCAAAAGCATTCCCCAGGGCTGGGAGCGGGGGATACAGACCCTGCAGGGAGCCCCTCGGGTCAGAAGAGGGGAGAAGTGCCTGGGAAAAGGCCTGTGGTGGGACAATGCGTTCCTCATCACCAGGAACCTCGTCACCAGTGCGCTGAGCAGCCAGCTCCAAAGCGGACAGCTGGGATACGGGAGAAGAGCCAGGAAAAAAGCAGTGGGTTAGAAGTAAATTTAGAGGTCAGCTCTGCAGAGGAGGACGCCGCGCTGACAGCCAAACCAGCACCTGGACACAGACGTCCTTTGGAAACGGCACGGCCCCAGAGCGGGGTGGCCTGGCCCCCGAACCTCCCAAAGGTGCCTGAAAGGTGCTGCTCAAAGACTGGGGCTGAGGGGTGACCCAGGTGGGATGCCAGTCTGTCCGCAGCCCCCAGGGCTCCCCCCATGTCCTGCCCTCCCACCTCCGCGGGGCTGCAGCCGGGGGACAGCGAGGAAGGCCACAGGAGGAAGGAGACAGGAGGGAACAGCAGCTACACGGCAGCGCTGCCTGACCCAGCGCCAGCATGCCTGTGGTCCTGCTCGCCATCCCTGGCAGGACAGGAGCGGGTACGGCCCCAAACAGCAATTTCACCCAGGAGAGCAGATTCCCAGGAGACCAAGGCACAGTCCTGCTCTTCACTGAGAGGCGGTAGCCAGCTGGGCACGTGCTCTTGGTCTCCCCAAACCGCCAAGTAAAACACTTCACCTTAACCCACCTCTGCGGTGTTTTAAGCCGCTATATTTAGCTTTGCACCTGCAAAAGGTCAGGAGCAAGCGGAGGTGCCGCAGCTCAGCTGGCAGCAGGGACCTGGCAGCTTGCAACGGCCCAGTCTCTGGTTCTGCTCGCAGGGCTCGATTGATAGCTGCCAGTCCTGGTGCCACCACCCAGAGATGCTCCACCAAAGCGAACCCCTTGGCCGATC